GGGTGTTTCAATGTCGGGAGGGGGCTTTTCTTGAACGTTGTAGCATATGGAACAAAAACACTAACGAAAAATTTCACTTGCAAAAATTTGATTGGCTGTGCAAAGAGCCTGACAACAAACATAAGTTAGAAGTTCTAAAACCCATTTGTACCGACAGTATTTACAAGTCGTCTTTGCCAACTGGAGTATTTAAAGTTGAATTTGGACAAAAATGTGGGGAGAGGTCACTATGCCCATATATGGTAATACTCTAGACTGATATTTATTCCCATTCATTGATACCTTTTAGTCAGAGAGTCAAAAGAAGTCATTATGATGGATTTCCAGCAATTTTGTTCAAGAATTTTACTTTCAGTTTCCCGAACACCCCCATCCATTTTATGGAATATTCCTTTTCCAAATTGTCCACTTGGCGCACGCTTGGCGGGGCCGCACGCACAAAGACTCTTGACCAATCAGAATCGATTAAACTGTCTTGTATCCAGCTGCCAGCGCTTGATTTACGCAGCGGGCATTATCACTTCTCAGTGGGCGTTATCAAATGTTAATACACGGTCAAACTGCACGTTGTTGAAAAGGGAGACCGTCTGAGGTATTTATGGATATTCTTTATAAATTTAACCCGAATACCTGAATTATTTGAGTCAATCACATTCAGTTGGCTTACAGTATCTTTACATGCTCTTGTAACGGCCTGTACCATTAAATACCAGTTATTTTTAAATTATAGTGTAACTATATTAATACATTTATTAAATTTTGTAAATGCTGTCGAAAATAATTGGTGCGTTAATGCTACGGATATCGTGGATTAGGTGAGCAGTCTGTATAGATGTTTATTCCATTGGGGATCGTATTTGGAAATGTCCAGGCTCAGTTTCAAGTGGTATTGTTTGTTGGGATAAAATTGGAGGGTTGAGGTGCGCACCACAGCATCAAAATAACGCTCTTAGGTTCCATCCCCTCTGTCCATCACCTGAATGGGTCCCTCTTCTAAAAGTGGTTGGAGGGGGGATATTGTATGACGTTTTCCTGCAGCACAACTGCAAGTGAGAAGTTTCCGAACGTTGTTGTGTGTGTGCGTGCTGGCAAATGTGAAATTACATCTGCCGCTTCGGGGATAGTGTTGCAGCGAATCTTGTTGACGTCCGCCCCTGGAATGGCTTACCCAGCCCCTTGTGCCACAGCCCGGGTTATGTTGTTTGGTTTTGCTTTGTTCTGCTGGCCATGCAGGGTTTCATCATCGAGATTGTTTTTCCTGGCTTGTCAGGGGAATTATTGCGTCATTCATATCGCCCGAGGCAGGTTGTTTACCTGGTCATTAGACCTGGTCATTTCAGTCTCATAGAAATTGGCCAGCTGCACAATTGTTGCTCTCAGATGGGTTTGAAATTTGGTATTTATGAATGCGCCATTGGAAATGACCCGCTTTGTCTTCACAGGAACCACAGTGCGTAAAACATGCACAGGTACATATTTCATTTGTTATTGCATGACCAGTTTACATGTGTCCCTGTCACATCTGTCATATGATTTTGTAAGTTCTGAACACGTTTTCTAATTTCCAAGAGTGATACATTGATTAATGCCTATTACCTGCCAAACAAATAGGAACACTTTCGAAATCAATTCTATTTCCATGTCAAATAACCAAGGTCAGATGTAACAGGGACACAAAAATGTCACACTTCTGGACCCCTAATGTCTGGAATTACCCATGAACATGTACATGTATGTGTGCCTCATCATGTGGGTAGCCTCATATCTCCAAATATCCGCCCTCATGTACATGTATAGATGTGACTGGTCCAATGTGTACATGTACATGTAGGCCCAATTTGGATTGATAGCCACCACTTGGGTGATACAATGTATTCACATCAGTACATACATGTACATGTATGTACATTTTGTAGATCAGTACATGCACATACATGTAGGCCAACGTAATACCGAACATTAAAAAAAACCCCAGTAATACATGTACATGTTATTTATGATAATGTCCTGTGCATACAATGCCACACATGTGATACAGTGTATTTTCTTGTGACAATTTTCCCACATGGCACTTACATACATGTACATGTACATGTACACACTTACATGCATGCACATGTACACGTTTGTTAAGGAATTACAGTTGAACCTTGCTAATAAGAGGTCTTTCGGACTTGGCAAATAACCTCGTTATAACAGGAACCTTGTATTATCAGAAATGAAACCAATGAAAAACAAAGGATTGGGACCTCAAAATGTTCTTGCTATAAGCAGAATCTTGTATTAACAATGCTTGTATTAATGGAATTTGACTGTGTACCCAGTACATGTACATGGACGTGCACTGTACTGTACGTGTACATGTTTGTACTAGTCATGGTTCCAAGACATGGCATTTTATTTGGTTCACAAACCTACATGTACCACCCTGAGAGGGCGTTTCATGCCCAGTGGTACTGCTCACACATACATGTACATGTACATGTACACCAACTGGCTCTGTGTGTAGAGAGTGTTCCCTTTGGTGAGTCATTGTATAGTGCAATGACCGGCGCGCACCCACTGCTGAAACATCGCCCCACTGAGGACTTGTCAGTATCTTACACCCAAGACTGTACATGTACATGGTATGACTGTGTGTGTGAAAGTTTGTGGTTGCAACTCGATCTTGTTTGGTTGTGAATTTTCTGGGCACTGCTTGAGTGAGGCTGACTCATTGTCCCACTGAAGCTCAGTTGAGGGAAAAAACAAAGCTATTCCATTCGGCGGTACTCTGAGAGGATGTGATACTGTAGCGTTACTCAGCGGCACATGTGCTGCCTCACATGTGTTAACATCATCGGTGTGTTCATGTATTGTTCTGTAATTTAATGGGAAACCTGAAAATACATGTAAAGAGAGGGACTGTGCTCAATAAATGTTCTCTGAGTGGTATGCTGTTGCTTGAAGTACACGTAACCAGAGCTCATCTGTCCGTTGGCCAACAGAATAGAGGGCTTTTTTGCATTCCTTTGTTAATTTGAACAACCAATTTACTGCACCTGATGACGTAATCATATCATCTTGACCATTTGAGTCCAAGGTTTCAACCCAATCAGGTACATGTATGCACTTCAGGAAATAACATGCTGTAAAGAGTGCATGTGTAATGTAATGTGACTCCTCATCTATGACCGTCATCACATCAAGTAAATTTTCGTCAAGAACACTTCCTTGTCTTGTTATCTGCCAAGTTTCAAATTGACGGAATATGTACACTACTTTTGGTGATACAGGGCTTGAAACAATGGACCCTTAATGTCACGTGACTTGTCTTCCCATGACATCATCACCACGTGAGTTCAATAATCTTCCGTATCACTACACTTTCTAGTTATCTTCAAATAAATGCCCTGACTATCTACCTAAATGTACCTTGTTATAGGTTAAATCGCGTATACGGCAGTCTGGTGCCCTTTATGCCATTACCTAATACGGGAAAGCATAATACGTTAGAGAAGCAACTTAAACTCAGACAGTGGTAACAAGGATGCGTGAGAGCTTGCAGACAACAAAAAGGCAAAAAGACGAGACGACTAGCGACAGAAAAGACAATAAAAGTGGTCTCGGTCAAGCATGGAGGCAGTAGTGGGAGAAGCGCCAATGATCCCCCAGACATGCAGTGTTGCTGGTGCCCTGCAGGGTCGGACCGTGTACATTGCAGTTTAAGGGCCCGGGGCCCGCCGGGTTCTTTGCAGGTCCGGGATACCTTCATTTGTTTTTAAAGGGTCTGTGAAGTGTGCATGTACAAGTACATGCATGTACCGTAATTCTATATGAAATCCTTGAATATACACAACTGTGTTCCATTCACCCCTATTTTCAATTATCGTTTTGCCATTTGAAGGAGAACTTTCAAGCATTTTTGTTTTATGCTGATTGTATAGATTGGCGTATTCATGAGCAAAAGTATGATGTCATTCCAGGAAGAAATTGCAGTCATTCCAGCACCAAAAGTTTGTTTGCTGCCTTAAATTTTCTTGTCATTGGTGTTTTGTTCTTGAAGTGTGGGATGGTAGGCCAGTAAAACAAAGTGAAATGATTTTCAAAAATATTTTCGGTGTAGCAAATTTTGGGTTCAGGAAACTCCTTGTAATGAACGGTGTCCTGTTGCAATAGCATCTCGGTAGAGAGCCCTCATGCATCAGGAAAAGCCTGGAAATTTTGATATGCATGTGCATATAGCCAACAAGAAATGTCGCTCATTCATGTATGAGTAATTTCTTATAATAGAATAATTTCTTATAATAGAAATCAGAAGGAAGAGTACATTGTAAGTTGCGCAAAATATGAATCCAGACCTCCTCTGAGACCTCTTGATCTGTCAAATGCCATTATTAGTACAAAATATTGATAGCATGCATATTATTGTACACATGTACACACATGCACACACATGTACATGTACTTTACCTATACAGGTTTGTACATGTACAGCTACTGTCCTTGTTCTTGAACCTTAAAAGTAAAAAGCACAAAAGAATTTACCTGGAAAATATTGAACCCGAGCTCAATGTCCATATTTTTCCATGTGATACCCATTATCTCAGCATGTGCCGTACATAACATGTTTTGATTACGGGGCGGCGTGTATTGAGGAGAAATTTCATCATATTTCTTAACCTCACTGGCAAAATAACAGTGCTGTTATGAAAACAGTCACCTGCGCTCCATTATGCAGTAATAGGGACACCTAGGCCCCCCAAGCCTGATGGTGCAGGACCCAGATGTACTCGCACAACATGTACTCGTACACCTCCCGGTTGGTACGTGTACAATGTACAGTATGCCTCTGCATTTTTTTCTCCCAATCGACATTCGATAATCACAGAAACAAAACTGTTGTGAAACAGCCACCCACATGAGAAATCCCAGCACTGAAGTACATCCTTCCCCCCTTCCGGAATAATGGATCTTCCCAATGAGATTGCAGCTCGATTTTGTTGTAAACAAGCCCGCCTCGGCTCACATTCGTAGTGCATGTGGAGCTGACTCAACACTGTATATCATTCGCTGATCAGCTGGAGCCTATTGGAGGTCTGGAACAGAAGGGTGACTGAATTTTTTCTTTTTTTTTTTTCGTCTGGAGGGTGGTACCTATCAAGGGAAAATTGGGAACCCAGTTACAATATTTTTTTCTCTGGGCTGTGATTCATGACTCCATGAGCTCCGTTGACAGCCTGCAAAGAGCCGTTGAGCCTGCCGGCGCCCCGCAAAGCCCCAGCGCCCAGCTGGTCTGCACTGGCTCCCCCAGCTGTTTGTGTGGTCACTCAGAGCTTGCAGCCGTAAACAACGGACTTTGTAGCAGCGCCAACAGCAAGAAGAGTCGACTTGCCGTGTTGAGGTTTGCCAGGATGTTGGCTGTGGCTCTAAGGAGGTGGACCAGTAAAACAAAGAAGGTACTAGATGCATCATGGTGCTTTGTCAGCTGGGTTGTTTGTCTTAACAAATTTACAGACTCCTCGAGTATTTTCCACAGGAGAATTTGCAGCTGTATGAGATTTTCTTCCATGTTTGTCAAGGAAATGAATGAGATTTACATGTACTTTCACAGGCAAGAATTTACAATGGAAATGCCATTTTGTATTTGTTTTTGCAAATGTTGCTATGTAAATTTTTCTTTGTTGGGCATTTGTGCATGTATACAGGGAGATTTTTTTGTTTATTTTTCATTTGGTGCCTGTATGCACATGAACAAGATGCTTCAGAAGAACACACATGTACAGTATGTGAATTCATTAATTGCAGTACTTCACTGTAAACCGTTAGATTCAAAGTATGGCCAAAAAGTATCTGCGTATACAGTGTCATTGTTTAAATACTGAAGTTCTTTTGTTCTGAATAGCAATGTCCTTACCAGGGTTTCCCCCGGGGTACAGATGTGTGTGAGGTGGTCAGATGAATGTTGCCCAAATTCTAGTGCCTAAAACAAAAGCGAGAGCTTTCAAAAAGGCCTAAAATAAATTGTATATATGTAGTGTGATAGGACATTTATTCCAAATTTCCCCTCTGAAATAAATCGGTCTTTTATTTTGTCTCCCTCTTTTCCCACTCTGAACAATTTCAAATTGATTGGTTTCAAACTATCCAAGTTATTTTGCTTTTTTTTCACATCTTTGTCTATTTTAAGTGCGAGGTGGCTAAGCCCAACTGAAAAGCTTGAGGTGGTCACTTAAATCAGTGAGGTGGGCCGCCTCACCCTTTAATAGGCAGGGGAAACCCTGGTTCTTACAAATAGTGTTACCCAACAAAATTTCAATGCCATTTGGAGTTTTGTTTATGACGATAAACATCTGTTGGTCGTTGTTTTTTTCAGAAGTCATTAAAAAAAATGGTTTGGGCTGTCCGATCCTATAAAATGCTGTTTGTTTTGTTTGCTCGGTTGTCTAATTTTCTGCAGATGCTGACCTTGTCTAAATTTGACCGTTCACTGGTACAGTGTAGCAAGTGTGCATGTCTGTGGAGGAAAGAGCTGTACACTTGAATACTCACAAGTGTACTGTACATGTATGCCCTTGGGAAGTCGGGTTGGCAAGGTACCAGTAGTTCTTTCCTCGCCTTCCACCTCTGTGGTCCCGGGTTGGATTCCCGGCCCGGTCCATAAGTGGATTGGGTTTTCAGTCCCTGCCTGACTCCATGGGTTTTACACAGTCTGTTCCTCTGGGGTTTTCCTCCCACCTCTAAAAATTGTAACTGCTTCTTACTGTCTCCCCTTTACTGATGTTGGTGAATGTGGATCGTTTGGCGGCTGCCCGAGGCGCCCTTGTATGCCATCGGCTCAACCATATTTAAATGTATTCATTATTCCACACTTAATGTCTTCATTGTACAGTGCATTTGAACATACTGTACGAAATTTGTGCTTTATAAATGAATAAATTGTTATTAATATTGTTAACAGTTCACTTGTTGTACAGTGTTCAGGCAGTGAATCTTAGTCTTGACTGATATCCTGATGGTTTGTAAAATGCTCAAGTTTTTTTTCATTGCAGCCTGATAGGTGCACTGTTCTTGCGCCAACTGTGCGTGCTCAGAGCACGGCACTGGTGCTAAACACATTGGTGCTGTACCCACATACGGCTGGAACTCAACTTTCAAGAGATTTTCTCAGTGTGTGTCTTTAATCCGGGGGAACCTGATGTTTACGCCAAACATTTCGACAGTTGAGTGATCTGGATGTTATTGGAATTACGTGAAATTCTCAGAGGGCATGATTCAATCATTGTAGTTCCGTTTACCATTCTGCCTACCGTGTACACAGGTAGGAGTTGGTATATGACACGCTATTTCAAAACAAGCTACACTCAGGAACTAATGCTGTAAATTGAGCACTACATGTAGCTGTCTGCAAGTTGCCGGGATTGTTAACTTGACTTGTTTTTCTCCTCAGCTCAGTGAAATAGAACACATTGTCGCTATTATTATGCAGGCAAACACGCATGGCTAATTGCTGTAAATGTACATGACGGACAATTTGTGTGTAGAAATTGGATGTACATGTAGCTGGTATTTACATAAACATGTTGTCAGCTACTACACCACATTGGTGACAAACATGTCCTGTGATTAGCCTTGACAGCTCTCATGTTGTCCTTCACCTGTCTGAGGACTGGGGTCTGTTGTACACTTACCGGGTATTTTTATGCCACAGGGCTCAGGCCAACATGTTTTATTTGTAGGATTACAAACCGCCGAATATTGCAATTTTAGAAAAACAAAGGACAAAATTGACATTAATTTTCCCGCCCTTTTTTTAAGTGTTTTGAAAAAAAATTGGACTGAATTATTTTTTTCTCCTCTGACCCTGGACAAGTTGATTGTTGGGGAAGAATGGAACTTTAGAGTTTTATTTTATTTTATTTTCAGTCCCCTTACCTTCGTGTTCGTAATCCAATGAATAAAAATCTGGGCTTACCAACCTGTGTGCACTTTTGAGTACATGTAGCTACATGTACATGTGTCAATGGAACTGGGCATCATCATTTTCCTGTGTATTTTCTCTGTTGGTGAGGTGGTTGAAAGAAAAGGGTACGTTTTGTGGGCTCATAAAAATGATTGGAAAAGAAACTGGATGATTCCTGTAATGAGAAGGGTGCTAACACAATAAAATCACTCCAGACAACATGAACAATGATGGTGATAAGTGTACCCTTACATATGAATATACACCCCATATTGCTAAGGTGTAAATCTAAGGAGGTTAGTTAACCTGAAAGGAGGTTAGTTAACTTGAAAGGAGGTTTGTTAACCGGAATGGAGCCTGTTAGTTAAGCTGAAAGGACGTTAGTTAAGCTGAAAGGACGTTAGTTCACCTGAAAGGACATTAGTTCACCTGAAAGGACGTCAGTTAACCTGAAAGGAGGTTAGTCAACCTGCATGGAACCTGTTAACCTGAATGGAACCTGTTAGTTAACCTTAAAGGAAGTAAGTTAACGTGAAAGCAGGTTTGTTAATCTAAAGGAGGTTAGTTAACCTGCATGGAACCTGTTAAGTTGAATGGAGCCTATTAGTTGACCTGAAAGGAGGTGAGCTAACCAGGTCAAGCAGTTTGTATAGTCTTTTTGGCAATGTACTTGTACTAGTACATGTTACAATTGTATAAGGCTAGCAGTGTGAGCTGGTTGGCATGCACACTCTTGTACATGTACATGTACATGTCTCACCCCAAAACACCCTTTGAGAAAACAAGCTTAAAACAAACTGCAAGACTAACTTTGTATGAAAAGGACTTTAAACTTGTGGTCAACACAGCTGAGAGAGGTAAATAACATAACCGATTTACTGTCACCTGAAAGATTAATCAAGCCTTATTTAAAGGCCCAATCTAATTGTGGCGCGATTCCACGAGGTAGAGGACAGACTAATTAAATTCTGTGGCCGGCGAGCTCTTACACCGAACTCTGTTGTTTACAGCGCTACTCGCCAGGTCCTCGGGATGACTGCGGGTAGCACGTCCAGTTAAACGAGGGTAATTACCGTATCTACGGTAGTGTTGGCACCTGCCCACCGTAGATTGGCGCTACAGCAAATTATGATGGACGCGCAGTGTATTTGTACACGTATGCGTGACATGTAGGCCTACATGTTTACTAACTCACTGTTCAGTACACGTATACTTGTACATGTTCTGCTATGGCCCCTGTGGCAAGAATTGCTCATTGTCAATTCAAAACACACGCTTACACCTGCAAATACCACAAATTCTGCTGTTATGCCGCAATGTTTGATCACAAATATGTACACTGTACATGTGCTGTAGTACCATTTCTCATGTGTAAGCACTGCTTTCCCAATGTTTACTTTAATTTGCACGTCCATTTTTGCTTGCAGCAAACTACGGTACATGTAACGGGAAGATGTATGTACCCGCATTTACAGACTTTGCAGAGCTTTGCTTTGATCGTGCACATGCACAGTTCTGCACTAGACAGGTGCTCGTAGAATGGTAAGCTCGTTCCAAAGGTGCATGTGCACGCCTACACATCTTGTGCATTTGCTCAAAGTTGTATCAAACATAGGTCTGTGTTCCGCCTCCTCTGTCCAGTAGACTACATCATGTAGTCAGGTTGACTGTGGGGGCGCAACACAAGACCTACTGTATCGACCAGCTCCTGCCATTCGGTGTTTTTTAATGTAAGCAGCTGTTTTTTGTATCTCGATATACATGTACAATGTACATGTACATGTACATCAGGTAGAGTTGTTTGTCTATTGACAGTACCAAAGTACCCAAATTTGTTTTGCCATATGGGGTTACCCACTCCCCCCTTAGTCCAAGGACAGTACCTGCTGGTGCCAGCGAAATGGTGACCACTCTGTGGAAAACAGGATCAAATTATGGAGAAGTAACAAATTTGCGTCAATTAAGCCCCCGGCCAAATAGCTAACGATCCGTTTCCTTGATTCCAAATACACCTGGTGAAAAACAATGACATCAAAAACTTCCCCCACACCACCAGCGACCCGTGAGGGATGTTTTTTTCGCTGTCAGTCGTGGCCCTCCAGTTGACTACTCAAACTTTTAAGGTTTCACCATCAGAGGCAGTTGCTGGGGAAGGCTTTAAAAAAAAAAAAGGCTGATGGATCTTACCCCTTGGAGCAGGATATTCTTTCTAAGCAATCCCGAAGTAGCTCATGGAATTGGACGAGTCCCTACGGGGAAAGAACATTGTCAATTTTCAACCGTCCCAGTGGGACTATTATGCTCGCTGCAGCTTCCTAGCAACAGGAAAACTGCTATACTGTGTTCTTGGCAGCGGAACGAAAATCTTTGGCAAATACTCGGCATCAGTAGCACCCGCAAAATGCTGTGGGTCAAATCTTCCATCTGCTCCGTCTATGCCGTTTTTGAAATGATGGAAGCACTATTTCCTTGATACATGTAATTGCAGTTTGAATTATGAAACGACAAGGAGTGACCATTAGCCTCAAACTCTCAGAGGCTTTTTCCACTCAAAGAGACCCTACTAGTGAGTATTAAAACATGGATCATATTTCAAGGACTTCAGTTCATCCTCAAGAATAAACTCTCATGCCACCACAGATTTCCCTGGTCGTGCACTGTGCGATACTAGAAGTGTTTTACCAAGAATTTGTTTGATTTCTTCCAAATCTTTCAGCCTGGATATTGGACAAATTGTATTTTAGCTTGGGTATCAAGTAAACTCTTGTTCATGTAGTACATGTATGGGGCATACAGGTACTGTATGCTCACATTTCCATGTACATGTACAGTATGTACAGTGTACACCTATCTAATACCAATGATGTGTGTACGAGGAGATACCTTACATGTCCATTTTGTAGATAGTCCTTTATCAGTCCTCTTGAGTCCTCAAAAACCTGTTGGATTTCATAGGATTAGGGAGGGTTGGGGGTGAATGTTTTATTGCATCTTCTGGTATCTTGCCGTGTTAATTGGAGAGATCCATGCATCCCTGTTTTAGAAACTAGGCCGTATTTTCTCACGCGAGGTTTGTTCCCAAGACAGCCACCAGAGATAATGAAAAAAATGAACTGGAAGTAAAGGTAAATTGATGTTTTGGACACGCTCAGTGTTGTGGTTCATATTTTGTTTAAATCGCTTCATTAACGGATCACTTCCAGGTATTGTTTTCTTGCGACCCCACTGTCTGTTTAATGAATTTTTTCCTCCTTAAGTCTGGACCCCCCCAAAAAAAATCGCCCGAGACAAAAGCTGGAAAACAATCCCTACCCTGCTCTGAGAATTTATTTTTTTTCAATCAGTGGATGATTTAGAGGATCCTTCCCCCTTTGTCGGGATCAAAACACGAGGAAGTTTTTCATCAGTTGGCGTAATGTGGACAGGTTGTGCGCAATTATCTACATGTACACACTTGAAAAAAAAAACTGTTCCCATCTCCCACCCCCCATAAATATACCGTACACAGACTTGAAAACATTTACATGTAGCTCACATGACAACACATGGTTCAGCATTTTCTTGATGCCTCCGAGGTCATGCATGTTCTTGGTAGATGGTGGTTAAATTGGGCAGTGCGGTATTCAACTGTTCAGATTCATCATTGTCAACATGTCAGCATGTACGTGTATGTACGTGTACCTTACCTACCAACAGTTGTAGTTTGGACTAGTGAACAAAAATGTCCACACGATGCAGGAAGGGAAGACGTTCTGTGGACGTACCCATGTCCACAGGGACATTTCCCTTTCTCTGAAAAAGAAGTTTGGAGGCGTTCTTGGGTTAGAGTTATTTGAAGTAAAAGAGAAACAGTCAAGGAAACATTTTTACAAAAATCGGGTTGAAAATAGTGTGCCCAGTTCCAGAGAAATGAGTATTTCACCAAGTTTTCTTAACTGCACAAAAACAAATGAATGCTCACTCTAGGTACATGTACATGTGTAAGTCCGCCTGTGGACGTCCTCAGACTGGACAAATGTAACACGGTCTAGTGTCTTTAATGTCGGCTGCCATGCCACTTGAGTGGTGGCATAACACAGCCGGCATTTCCTCAGTGTCGTCATCGCAACCAAAAACCGGTTTTACTGACACAAAACCCGCTCGTGTTTCTGACCGTTTCAATAAAAGAAGCGGCAACTGCTTTTATGGAAAGGTGCATGATGCCACGCCACCAAAACCTGTGACCCACTCTGTGAAAATGAGTCTTAAGTCGCCAGAGCCACTTTGGGGTACCGGTAAAAAGTCCTTTAGTATAATTTTGCACAGTGCAGATTAATAGGAACCCACTGCATTTTCACCACGGAGTAACCACTTTCATCAGGATTCCAAACTGAGTGGTACATCAAAACAAAAACCTCAATTTGTTCTTTCCAATACAAATAAAAACTCCCAAAGTGGCTCTGGCGGCTTAATTATTTTCGCAGAGTGGGTCGCATAATAACAATACATGTATGTGTGGATGCACGTACATTGTATACATGTACATGTAGGCACTGTACACACAGAGGGGTCAGGGAACCATTCTTTGCACGAGACACTTTACAGTTTTGTTTACAGTAGTTCTGCAACATGGTGCTGGGACAAATCCCATTGGATTAATTGGGGCTCTGTAAAACTACCTCAGCTCTGCACAAAGGCTGCACCTGAATCTCTTGTCTAGAGCTAGGTCTTGGTATTCACTCCATTGGAAATGCATGGAGACGCGCAGACAATAAACCTAGCCGTAGCTCTGGAAGCCCGTTTCGGACACGGCCAAAGTTTCCGAGACCATTTTTCAGCCAATTCAATGACTGTAGGCTAACTACCATAGCAGGGGCATCAACTCACCAGGCAATCTGATCCATTTTATTTTTACTCGGCTGCGGTTGTTTTTACAAAAAAAAATGTGTGATGGGAACGCAGGTGGACTGTACACTGTAAACTTGTACAGTATCCCTTGTGACTAAGCCATTTGCAAAAGTGACTACATTAGATATACATGTACGTGTACACCTGTATACCTTAACGTTTCACCTGTAATCTTACAATGCAGCAGCTGTTGTGCAGTATTCCCAACTGAATATGGCTCTGAACACAGGGTCTGTGGTTCGCCTCTAACCACATGGCCGTGTCTTCTACAGGGTACATGGAAATTCCTGAAGCCATACCTCCGGAATTAAGTTGTTTAAATTAACAGCTCGCCAAGAGGGTTGATACATGCATGGATTTTGTACTCGTGCATGTACATAATGTGTATTTAGGGCACTTTTTGTCGATATATTCACTCCAATTCCATGTATCTGATTGTGTAACATGAAGTCGATTATTAGGTGAATTTCCTGTAGTTACATGTACATGTAGGCAGGGTCCATTGGCCCATCGTCTCAAGACATTATCTTATTGGTACAGTACAAGTTACATGTATCTGCTTCCAGGTTCAAGCAGCCATGTGTTTGGCGTTCATGTACATTTAATCACATATATTTTCACTCAGTCTACAATGTACATGTAATTTGCTCAAACATTTCCAGGTGCCTCTGACAATGTTTTTCAAGGTCTAAAGTAACCGCCAGAATTAGATTTACTCGTACATACACTGTACATGTAGTCTTTATACACGCGTGTAATTCTATATCTCCACTGATATCAAATTTGAAAGGCTTAGCGGCTATTTAAAGCCATGAAGAGGTGGTGACAAACTTCAGGTCTGAGAAATAAATATTTGTGTGCTGAGTGGCATCTAGGTCTGTTATTTTCCGCAATTGTGTAATTGACATTTCCATGTGTGTTTTTGGAATGTTCTTGTTTGTGTCATTTCGGGCTGTTTTGCCTGGGCTCCAGGGGAATATTAAGTTCTTTGTATCCTCCGGAGTGTTGTATGGCTGCCTTCGGCCTTCACACTTCTTAACATAATCGCGCAGTGGGCTTGTTTGGTTATGAGTACCGTGCTCAGACTCCAGAGTACTTCTTTTTTTGACAGTCTAAGGAGCAAGCGAGGAAGCCAATGAGAGGTGGCGAGGGCGAGTCACGTGACCAGTCAGCAACCAACGGGCGCTCACAGTCACAATGCATCAAGCCGCCAGCCAGCCGGACCGTCTCGGCGGGGACCAGTTGCCAGCGAGACTCGGCGTCGCCCTCCTCCTCGCCCGCCGCCGCCACTCCCACCTCGTCCTCCCTCCCTTCCACGAGCTCCGAGTACCTGCAGAGCCGGCCCTCAGCAGGGACACCCGGGGCCAAAGACATGAACCAGTCAGGGCAGTCAGCCACGACAGCCCCAAGGAAGAAGCAGCGGCAAGATTTCAAGTTTGGCAAGATCTTGGGCGAGGGTTCTTACTCAGAGGTGAGGAATCTTTAATCGTCTTTCACATTCTTGTCCTCAATCCATCTAGTTTTTCATTTTGTGCACTTTCTTTCCTTAAAATAATGCACAGGCACACAGATAAATGTTTTTGATGCATCACTCTCTAAAATTGTCCTCGTTGAAAGCTCTTCATTTTCCTGGCAAGCTTGAACCTTACAAGGTTAAACTGTCAACACTGGTGAACAGGAAGATGCGATATCAAATTCCAGGCAACCGATGTTCAAGGTTATAAGCCTGTATTGGTGCATTGAAGATTATCGTTTGGTCTTTTCAATTTATTAATCATCCAGTTGCAGGCTTGGTTAGTTGAATGGCAGACTGTTCTTTCCTTAGGCTATTTTTGACACAAGTTTAAATAAAAAGCAGACAAGCTCTAGTCGTCTGGCTGGAGCTCCTCAGAGGAAGATAGTGTTAGTGTACGTAAAAAGCATAAAAATCACTTTTTCGTGCATGTATTCTGTGAGATTTCTTGTGGAAGACATTTATATCTATTCCCCGGTCCTTCTCAGTGAAAATCTTTGTTTTCACCAAGTGATTTTCAATTAATCAATGGAGAAAGTGAAATCAAATAATGGTGACATTGACTGGTTCATCAGGCAACAGAAATAGTACTAAAAGCCGGTTTCAGAGCAGGAATGTTTTTGGAAGGAAAAAAGCAGTCTTGATTTGAGGCTTCAAGCAAAAACTTTGAGATTCAAAGCAGAACGACTAAAAATTTGTAATTAAGAAATTAGAGATCTCTCTGTGATAGAGAGGTACATGTAGGCCTACATGTACATGTACGTGTAATGTGTGAAATTTGCCAGGAGAAGAAAAGAGTTTCATGGGTTGGTATCTGCATAAATTAAAATGGAGCAAAACTTTGACACCGTTGATACATTTCAGCTTGAAGCCACCGTGTTGTACAGGTTGGAGTTTAGGTAAGCAGGCATTTTGGCCTGGCCGTGTGCTCAAACCATCCAATGCAACATGTACTGTATGGTACCTCCTGGTATTTAATCCATTGATAAACGAGATCGACAGCTTATCGTGGGTGAAATTAGACTTCCTACAGATGTTACCATGTTTCTAAGAATCTGATGCTTGTTAAATTACATTGTTGGCAGATGTTTTTTCCATGTAAGGTTCTGTAAAAGTTTCAGACGCTATAAAAACAGGTTTCGCATTTCAAATTTGGGTCATTTGGGCAAAGTTTGTAATTGGATTTTTTTGTTTGTTTAAAAATAAGTGTCATGTGTGTGATTAATTTGTACACCGGTACGGCAGTTTGTTAATGATATTTTCCCCCCATTGGCTTGCCAATTTTATTGTGATTCCGTCCTGCATTTATCATGTGTCAGGCCCCGTCGTGACTTTGTCTCACAAAACAAGCCCATGCCCCTCAATATTACCTGAGCAATAAAAACGACACAGCACAACTGCGGTCTTCACATAACGATCATAATTCAGGGCAATCTCGGATCACGAGCGTCCCCATTCTCAGAAACCCGGGCCTCCGGAGTGGGCTTGGCAAAAATCTGCACAACTGATCAATTAAGGCATCATTGAATTCCCCAGGGGCCGGGAAAAACACAACTGAGTAGCGGGCAGTCCTCGCCAGTACCTTGGGCAAAACATATGAGTGGAAGGTTTCTGTCCTTTGTTTGCAGGAATATCAGGTTGGATTGAGTCCCAAAAATATTGAGATTTTTGATTTGGACTTTAGACGTCTCAGGTCACTTGTCCAATGAAAACAAGTAGCCTCAGTTTTGTTTGTTCTTAATAAAATAGAAGTTAGACCCCGTTGAGGTGAAATTACTAAATTGGTCTCGATGAAAACACTAGTCTTAGTGGTTTGGGGAATATTTTTGTAACAATGGATCCAGACCCCCCCCCCGAAAGATGTGGGCTTTTACTGCACTTTCATACTGAACACTTTGGACTCCCTTGTCGCTTTGAGACACACTGCGTGGGCTTTGTTTGTCTGTTCAAAAATTAGAATTTTAATCCCGTTTGGGTCACACGTAAGATTTGTGCAGTGACAGTTTCCGAATGCTTAAAGTGTATTCAGTGTCTTTTTTCCACCCTGGCCGTGCCCTTGAGATCTGTTTTCTCTGCCTGATTTTGCCTTAAATGTGCGGACGAGTTCATGTAATCTCAGAATTCTAAATAGCAGTCCAGTTTGTCACCTTTGATTCGCCCCCCCTAATGGCCCAATGTGGAAAATGTCCATTTTTCTTTGAACTTCAAGAGGCACGAATGACGACTACTGTACTGTAATGACGACTACAAGAACGAAACTGAGTAATTCCTGATCCGATATCAAACAAAAGATAAATTAACTAGCTTGGCTGCATGTAATGGACCGTTACTAAAGCAAATGAAATGGCAGGTTTTTTAGGGGGGAGGGGATATTTTTCTTTGCATTTTCTCCCATTTTGTCTTTTTCGGTTTTTCTGGGGGGTTGGAAGGCAATTCCTTTGTTTCCTCCCCCTACCCCCGATGTCCATTCATGGATGGACTACATTGTATTATCTCTATCGGAACAGACCAAGCCTAGTATTCGATTATCCATCTAAATGAAGTAAACTACAAGATATTGATCGAAGCAAATCTTCTGGAAAATGCTTCGGATGTCTATGTGCCAAGTGCATATATTGTTAACCACAGTTCTTGGCTCATTCTATAAATTTAGGGTCCAAAGGGGGACATTTTTCCACCCCGACACCTCTGACATGTAGATGTATACCATCTGAGATGTTTGACAAGGGATGTACTGTATTACAGAAATTGATTTCAAACTATTGTTATTTGTTTGGCAGGTCATTTGCTGTACATGTACTTATTCAATCTTGGAATTGCACAGTGAGTTCTAAACTCTGAAAAATCTCATGCCAGACATAACAGACGGGAAAAAAATGGGACCCATAATTTATAGAATGACCTTATTACATTACAATGTCTGTGCTGAGAGACATATGCACATTTAATACACAAATATCTGACAGCTGTCTAGTTGTCCTTGGCAACAGGCTGTACATGTGCAGTATGGGTACTTTGGCTGATTATGATAAATATTTGAAAACTAATATTGTGATAGCCGTGGTAGTGTGGGCCACTGGGCTGTTGAAGTAAACAAGTTGATTGCACAATGATTGCTATGCGGAAAATGTTGTTTATCAGTTTGGGGCTTGGCACCAGATCAACAGTAGGTTTGCAATAATGTGTGCTTTTTACATTATATGTGTCTAGAACCCTGTAGATATTTGTGTCATTCATGTCTCGTTGAAATTGAATGGGGCATTTTACATGTATTTTTTTGGAGAAGAATTCATGTTGACGTACCCATTTACAAGGCATGGCAAATGTTTTTCCGCGTGCTTGAGAAGGCCCAAGTATCTTTTTCCCACAGTGGGAAAAGTTTTTTCACATTTTGAGAAATGAAAACTCATGACTTGAGTTCCCTGGGAAGAAATTCGCGGGTTACCGATAAATTTCAGTTACACTGTTGTGTACAAGTACTGTACCAAGACCTTAAAAGTCCAACTTGTACACGTACGGACGTTGGTACTTTTTATCAATTCACAGTGTTTCAGGTACATGTAATAACAACCCGTAGAGTTTGAGTATGAGTACAAGTAATTTCATGCACCAGTGTGAGTACTATAGAGGCTTTGCTTGGTAGCCATCTTGCAGGGCGTTTCTTTTCGTCCACAGGGAAACCTCCTTTGCGCATACCCTGTGGAACAAAAGCACAGCCCTGCAAGATGGTTGCCATGCAAACCCTCTGTAGTCAAGAAAATTTCACTGAGAACAATATTACCAAAATGGATGTCCATGAAGTGTTTGAGTCTGCGAATAAGGAGCGGTATTTGTGGACACTTTGATATCAAGTTGAAACCCCTAAGCTCTCGGGACACTTTCACCAGGAGTATTCTGCTCTATACATGAATAAGAGCAGAGAACATGTTGGAAATTGTCCAGCCAAAGCCAGTACTGCGGTCTAGCCCCCGACTCTTTTTTCAGAAACACAGAATACAGACCTCTGGCCCACAGCACCCATACTTTACAAGTACGTGGTGCTGTGGGGTTCATGGTTTTGTTTTTCAGGAATCCACGTATAATGTTGCAGAGCTACATGTACATGTATTCCGGTTATTGCCAGTTTAGCGGTAGGCAGGATCAGTACAGTTGACCAAATGCAGAGAGGAATGAAAACCTGTCGGCTGAATTGTTCTTTGAAGAATTTTAATTACGGGTTTGCCCTAGCACCGACGTACATTTGTAACACTTACATATGTATACTCAGTGCGGCCTGTCCGAGAGCTTGCGAAAAAATTCACAAGCTTCCTAAAGAAGGCGTCTGTTCATGCTATTTTTTCCACGGCAAAATCTCAAGTGTCTGTGAAGCTTTCGTAATCTAAGAGCAGAGACGAGCCTCATCCCTGCTGCGTGATATCCCCCACTGCCCTCGCCACCGAGCAAGACAACAGCCCGAGTTAAAGGAAAAGGAACAAAAAAAGATCGCCGGATATTCTGTGCGGACCGAAATGTTGAAACCGATTGTCCTTCCCTGTGAGAGTCTTACCCCGGAGGCGTTGCACTTTGGCAAAAACAACATCGCGCTCTGATGCTTGCTGTGGAGCGGTGATAAACTTGAAGAAGAGAACTGAAATCCCCTTCTCAGCTTCCCCTTCCCCCCCCTCCTCTCTCTTTTTTTTTCTCTCTTCAATCCACCGGCCATTAACGAACTGAGCACCAGAGTGCACGCTTCATTAATGGCATGCGACACCCCAGAAAGGTTTCCAATCTCACCATCTTGGTTGTTTTTCACTCTGTGGTTTAATGCAGGTTGTCCTTGCTACTGAAATTGCCACGGGCAACAAATATGCAAGTAAGTACACTTCCCGTCTTCTCCTTGTTTCAGCCTCCTTTGAACTGCTTTTTAAAGGCATGGTCCTGCTGTACATGTACATTTGCAGCTGTGCATAAAGTAACTGACAAAGTATTGGTGAAAAGTGCACTCAGTTTACTATTTGAGGCAATGTTGTATTTGAGTCCATCACAAGTCCTTTCACAAGTCCAGTCACAAGTCCCTTCATAAGGCCAGTCATAAGTAACAGGGTGACCAATGACAGAGGAATGCTTCCGTCACAGCTCATTTTAATAGCTTGTGAATTGGCTTAAGACTGAATGACTTGTGATGGACTTACAGGGACTTGCGCTGGACTTAAATACAACACTAATTTCAGGGGACATTTATTTATGGCAAAGGAAGTGTTTTGCCTGGAAAGCGAGGGGACTTTTTAGTGCTTTAGCGGCAGCCAGTTTGATGTGAAAAGTAACAGGAAAATTTGAAGTCATTGATATAACTTATAACAACAGTTCCACAAAGTGGACGTATCCTTTAGTTGTGTTGATTTTATGAGGAGTCATCAGGATTTTCATATTTTGGGGAATTTTCATGAAGGGAATAAATATGTGCTTGGCCGGTCTTAAACATGCGTTGAAGACCGGCTCAGGAGAATGGACACGACTGGGCGAGGGCATTATCAGCATTTGTTCCCCTGAGCAAGGTCTGAAACGTTCGTTTAAGGCTGGCCAAGCACATGCATGTATTTATTCCCGTTCATAGAATATACCTTTTTATTTAGCATGTTCAGACATTCTAAAAAGTCCACATATGACAGATTTCCAACAATTTTGTTCTAAAACTTTACTTTCGTTTTCCCGAACACCCCCGTCCATTTATAGAATGTTCCTTTTATAAGTTGTCCAATAGAATCCCCTGCAGTGAACTTGGTGCACACATGGCACATCGCATGCACACTCCTGACTCCATGACTCCTGACCAATCAGACTCGATTAAACTGTCTCGTATCCACGTGCCAGCGCGTGATTTACACAGCAGGCATTATCACTTCTCAGCGGGCATTATCAAATGTTAATACACAGTCACGTGACGCGTTTTGACCAACAAGAATAGAAAAACTGTCCCAGGTATTTATGAATGTGGTTTTCATTTTGAAAGCATCCCGATACTTTGTGTTCACGTATTCCAGAACTTTGCTGTGAAGTAAAATAGAAACCACAATATGTACAAGTTAGCCGCTCTAATTCACTGCTTAAATATTGCTTTACATACATAAACTGTTGTCTCGTTTGATGTGCTACGTTCAGTCAAAGTCTTAGTGAAGCGGCATATATTCCGGGAGAAGAAGGAGAAGTACGTCATGCGAGAGCGAGAAGTTTTGAGCAAACTTGACCACCCGTTCTTCGTGAAGTTGTACTTTACCTTTCAAGACAAGGAGAAGCTGTGTATCCTTTGGCTGGCTTTAACTGCCTAACTGAACGGCTTTCACGCAGTCCCTGTCCTTTTCACAAAGCACAGAGTGTCCCTTTTTTCTTTTTTTTCACATGAGGAGTTCACTTGAAACTGGGACTCAGCCCGGTTTTTGTGAAATAGAACACTCTGGACGTTCTCAGCTGCAGGATGTGAACATTTTATTGCCCTCGCCAGTGACCAAGTTTATGTTTACCCCAATGCGTATGGTGTAAACTTGCCGAACTTCACAGTTTATGTGTTTGCGTCAGACGGCACTTGTGCTCAGAAGATCGTCCTGCACGTTCAGACTGAGCGTCTCTCCTGGTTACGGGCACTTCTTCGTTTTGTCGGCCACAACATAGGACAATAAGTACAGAGGGGTTCCCCATTTCAGATTGTGTAAAGAAATTGTGTGGAACAGGATTGGATGACCCATAATGGCACTCTCAAACTCAGCTCTACAGTTGCTTGTTGGCAGCGTTCCAGTTTTCCACTGTGCATGTATTTCCCAAAAGGGTGCTACTCAAAACTCAACACTCTTAGACAATGTAGAGGATTAGAAACCTGTTTCAGAGAAGCAAAGGATTTTCTGGTTTGGTTTACTGGGGCAGAAAGCAACAGAGATGAGTGATACAATGTGGCTGTATCCAGTTTTAAATGACACTTCCGCATTTTATTTTCTGGCCACTTCTACTAACAGTCCATGAGGGTATTTTTGCGCCAAACCCCAGCCTAGACCACGTTGTATGTACACGGGGCATAGTTTCAAGCGATCCAGAATCGACTGCAGGCAGGATGTTATTTCGCATATCTAGGTCAGGAATGTAGCCGCACATTCCTAGATTTACATTATTTACCTCAGTGTGTGCGCCCCACATGGGGGTTTATGCTCCTCACCACAAAGGCCTGTAGACCGGCCCGTGAAATACGACCTGCGCATGTTGCAAACTCCTGCAACAGTAAATCTCCAGAGGTGTTTTTCTTGGAGGGGGGTGTCAGTGGAAGCCAGAAAAACAACAGGCTCATTAAAAAGCATATCTAGGTTAAGAATGCAACCGGGTCTGGAAGTGCACAGAAGCATGGCTTCCAGCATAGCACCCTGACTGGGACCTAGCGTTTGGTGGATAGCCTCACCTGGTGGTGGGAGGGGGGTGCAGAGAATTGGACCTCAATAAATTCTGGGTTGTTTATAAATGTCCCCTTGTGGCCAGACTGTACCAGGCAGGAAAGGTCACCGGAGGTCAGCCCGAGCCTGTGGTGTCCTTATGCACTAGAGTGTGTTGATGTTATCCGCAGCTGTTTTTGTAGGCCCAGCCCAAGGCCTGTTTACAACATGCCCAGATTCTGCACAGAAGGTCGTCATTTTAATTATGTTGTTTACCTACACATTTTGACAATCCCTTTACTCTGCGTGGATATAATGCACTGAGCATGCCGAAGGGGTTAGCAGATTTCTGGGGCATGAAATCTCTACCCACACCATGGACTTTTGATAATGGACTTGTTTTCAGACAACTCCGAAACTTATTAAAGGGAATACAGAAATCACTGATACATGTTGACTAACCCCTGAAGGATGTAGCATTGGACATGATGGCTTTTCCAAGCCGCACAAAGCTACGTGTTCCTGCAATTGAACCTATCGCAAACAATATGCATACTAGCTGTAATAATAGGTATTTCTGCCGCACTTGTAGCAAGGATCAACAGTGTTTTAATTACATGCATGATTACCCCCGCTCATCAGGCCGATCAAGGGTTTCTCAGCCTTCTTCAGTTCCCTCCCCCCCCCCGAAGTACATCTACATTGTACAGAACTTCCCCGTACATGTAGGCCCCCTACTCACTGAAATGTATGCTCGGATTTGCTGTTGCAGTGTACTGCGCTTGCTCAAAGAAATTAACATTGGTTCAGCACAGACGAAGAATAAATTCACGAGATTAGATTTTTGCATCAGGTAGTTATAAAAAAACAGGAACAAAAATCTCTCTGATACCCAAAGGCCAACATGCAGTGTATACAGTTGGACTGTGTGAATAAGAGGTCCTTTGGACTTGCCAAATTACCTTGTTTATAACAGGAACCTTGTATTATCAGGGAATGAAAACAATGAAAAAGAAAGGATTGGGACCAAAAATTTCCTTGTTATAAGCAGAATTTTGTATCAACAATGCTCTTATTAACAAGGTTGAACTGTAGATATTATTATGGCCACACATCTCCTTCAAGGGACTGGACTGTTGTAACAGGCCAAGCCGATGTGTTTGTTTGTGAAAAAGAGGTCTGGCTCCACACCTACAAATAAAGAATATGTCGGTCTTCAAAAGCAGCAGACTTGAATTTGACCCTTGACACTGGCATCGACAGATTTCGGCCTGAGTCTAGCTCAGCGGGGAGAGTTGCTCCCTTACATACAGAAGCTGGGCTCCTTTGATGAGAACGCGACCAGGTTCTATGCTGCCGAGGTGGTTCTAGCACTGGAATATCTTCACAACATGGGTATCATACACAGGTATTGTTGCTTGGTGCTTAGTCCCAAACTTGCCGTGGTGGGAGTTAGGGAGGGGACAGGAGAAGGATTTTTAGATTCTCAGGATTTTCCGGCCAGTTATGAGACCATCAGGTGTCGGCCATTAACCCTAACCCTCCTCAATCCTTCACCTGTTGGAGGATTGAGGAGGGTTAGGGTTAATAGACTGATCCCCAATCCCCCCTCCATTATAGACATGCAAAAAGTTGGGGGCGGGGCATATCAAAAAAGTGGGAGACCGTCGGTCCTGGTCATGGAAGAAGCCAACATTCGGCTATGAACAATCATGAAAGTTTTACCGGCTGTCCACACCGGATTTATTTTTGTTCATTTGACAACAGTCGCTCTAAATTCCCCCCTCCCCCAAAAAAATCCACTGTCAAGATGGCTTTGGTCCTTCAGACAACACCTAACGCATGTGTGTATATCTCCTGTAAAAGATGTACTGCTGTTTATGAACTAATAAGGAAACCTATCCAGGAAGAAGATTGGATTCTCTCTGTATCTCTGGCTAGCTGCAAGATGAGTGATTGATAACTGTGCCCCATCCAGTTAGTTCCTAAACTTCCTTGGACAGCAGATGCTGTTTTCAAATTAAACAGGATAAGATAATCATCATGTTTTTCATGGATATCTTTGTGTTATTTTTTTTGGATCTTGAAGGGATTTGAAACCAGAAAACATCCTGCTTAATGAGGACATGCATATACAGATCACGGACTTTGGAACGGTGAAGATTCTGGATGCAAACGCCAAAGAAGGTACGCAGCTGCTTTGCTCTGCATTTTTCCAAGCCTTTCCCCTCCCCTTCTACCAACGTATGTCACCTTAAACTACCTCCCCCCCTCCCCCAAGGGGACCTTCCAGATTTGCCCCAAATCAGCCGCTGTGTCAAAAAAACGAACAGCCTAACCTGTGTGCTTTTCATTCTCAAGGGGTGTCCAGTCTCATGTGGTGTAGTGATGGTCGAGCTTCCATCTTTGTCAGTCCTTCAGAAACTTTCCATGAACCACTTCCCGGATTTACAAGATTTTGGAGTGTCTTGGGGAAAATTCAGTCGGACGTCAGTTGGATAAAATCTCCAACTGGATGTATGTGTGGCCTTGTTGCCTTGGGTGTACAAGGACACGTATATGCAGAAGGAGGGTTTTATTGGGAAATGTCCTCAGAGAAAGAATAGTGAAAATCCGTTTGAAAAGCCTGATGCACAATTTTTTTCGCACATGGTTGTATTTTCAGTCATCAGTTACATGTACATACCAACTGGAATCAAGACTTTAAGCATTAAATTTTGGCTGTTGGGGAATGATCCATTCCTCCAGAATTGGCTTTCATTGGTTACAGGGGCCTTCTTCCTTTCAAATCTAACTCTATCAGTGGCGTTACTATTTTTCCGAAATCCTTCCTGAAGGTAAAAGAAGGAAGAATTTGCTGGCATTTCCTGTTTCCAGGGATGTCAGTTTCTGCTGTCCGATGATTGAAAACAAGTGGCATCTTCAAAAGATCAATAAAATCGTTTGGGGAAGAAAGAAACACTCAAAACCTTGTGTTTTTGTGTCAGGTTAGTTTCAGGGCATTGGAGTCAACAGTGACTGGAGTGGGGAAGTCCCTTTTTTTTGCAGTTGGAAATTTAGTTTTGCCTTTTCCTTGTTCATGTTTAAAATGATTGCGGGGCCGGACTAGAGACTAAAGTAAGCTTACAATGTAGGCAGGTCACATAGAACAAACGTGCGGATGGGGCGTACCGTTTGGTCCAAAGGAGTGGAGAGCATTTAGTCTACCATTTAAGAATGTGGAAAAACGTGACTTGGCAGATTTCTTTTTTTATTTTCTGTATTTGCAGTACGGGCAAATTCTTTTGTCGGCACGGCTCAGTATGTCTCACCAGAATTACTAACAGAGAAGTGTGCCATGAAAAGGTGAGATAGGCAGAGAATAACTAGTGTTGAAGACATGGTTGTCAGAACACACGTGTATGGACGCAGGAATGCTACATTGTATTGTACTCAGTGGTGTAACTATGGGGGTACTTACTCCCCCCCCCCAGCTGAAGGGTCTGCCCCCTTAATGCCCCTCCCCCCATTTGACATTTTTAAAATGTGCACAACCTACGGTGTGTATACGCCGCATTTCATTTACTTTCAGTGACCCCTCTAAGAAAATGCCCCAAGAATTTTACTCCAGTCACCTTACGGACGCTTCCTTGATTTGGGGAGGGTCTGAATAGGAAGAAATTGGGAAGGGCTTACAAAGTGAGATGAATCCATTTAGAAAAGTGTAAATACCTGCTTTTTAATGCTATCAAAGGCCCCCACCTATTGAGGCAATCCAATCAAATATTGTAGGGGCCTGTTTGTTTCTCACGGATCTGGATCTTGATCAGCGATCCTAACACTGGTTCCCACCATCCACGAGGCAAGTATTTGTGTTTGTAAACCAAGGACGGATCACTGATCGTAATCCAGATCCGTGTGAAACAAACACGGACTTCGACTCTTTGGTGAGAATTGGGTAAGAGTTGACATGATAGAGTCAAGAGTATGTAGATTCACAGATTATGGCCTAAAAGTTACCAGTGAAAAGTACATGTAGGTTTGAAAGCACAGCACAGGAACCATCACAAAATAGTCAGGTACCTTCCTTGTAAGCTGTGTAAGTAAGTTATGTGGATTTGGGAGCATGATCAAGGTGGTTGCTGAATAAGGCTCATAGCCTCATGTACAGTTGTCTTAAATGTTACTGGATGCATTCAAACTCCCTTTTATCCACAGCATGCTTACAAACTGAACATGAACAAGCTTGTTATGTTGTTAATGGGTGCCAGGCGTGAAATAAGCCATTTGCGAGTTAAATTTGAGTAAAATCTAGCACACTGAGTTATTTAAATTCACATGAACACAAAAAAACAGCTTGAATTCTCCTTACCAAAACCACTGTTGCTATATCTCGTGATTCGGGGCAGGCTTTTGCTTTGTTACATAAGAGACGCCTTGCACCAATACACTGTTTTCCATGGATAAGGCACAAAGGAACCAGTCCATTCCAGAGATGGTGGTCGCTATGCGAAAGCTTGCCCCGAATCACAAGGTATAGCAACAGTGCCTTTAGTCTGGGGAATTTAAATTGTTATGTTTCTGTGCAGTGTACCAGATTTTATTCAAATTTAACTCGCAAGTGGCTTATTGCAGTATACATGTGCTATATACTTGCTTTCTGTCACCATTGGTGCATTATACCGGTATTTGTGTTCAGATTAGCCAGTCAGATATCCAGGATCCTTGCATTGACACTGATTTTTATCAATTTCCGCTGTGTTTTTCCATCAGTTCTGACCTGTGGGCCCTCGGTTGTCTCGTTTATCAGCTCCTAGCGGGCTTGCCCCCATTCAGAGCAAGGTGAGAACGTATTTGTTGTTTCATAAGCCACAGTGCATATCTCATCCCCAAAATCTCTACGGTTTGGACTAGAATGTTTCCATTCCAGTACAGCAAATATGCAGAGCAATCAGTGAAATTAGACCTGTTAGCGAACACGTTCCTCATGAAATTGAGGCAAGTATGGATTACCTGAGGCTAGTTTTACTATACCACCCACAGCAGTCAATATTTGTATACTATTTACCATTTGGAGCAGTCAATATTTGTATACTATTTACCATTTGGAGCAGTCAATATTTGTATACTATTTACCATTTGGAGCAGTCAATATTTGTATACTATTTATCATCCGGAGCAGTCAATATTTGTATACTATTTACCATTCGGAGCAGTCAATATTTGTACACTATTTTACTGCCAAGCTCCAAGAGACTATACCAAAACCAAAGTAAAAGTAAAGTACAATATCATCAGCAACCAGTGGTCTACACTGTACATGCATTTGTTCATACTTACAGCTCATATTTATTAGGAAACAATATATTTAATGGTCATCTTTACAACTATGAATTTGTACGTGGGGTTTAATATCCCAATATTGTCATCTTTTTTGATTATTGTATTGCAAAAGATTTTGGCAGATCAAGGAATGCTGAAGAGAGTTCAAGTAAAATTGAATCAAAACCGTCCATTCATATTTTCCACCTATTGTTTTTTACAAACTTGTACATTAATTAGAGACCGCTGTCATATTAGGGAAGTAAGCACCCTGAAATTATTCCAAAACAGGAAAAATATGCGTTGGCATTAAGTGGCATTGTTTGTCAATAACAAATAGGAACAAGTTGCATAGAAATTATTTTTGAAAATTCCAAGACAGAATTGGGCAAGTTTGTGGGGGGGTTTAGAGCAAATGGAAAACAGACAGACGGACAGACAAAAAAAACAAAAACAAAGAGGAAATGACATATTAATGATGAGAGAAGTCACCAAAGTGGCACAAGCCAGGCCGGAAATTGCATCCAATCTGGTTCAAGAATTGAACAACAGTTCCGTAGAGACCATTTGGCTCAGCCACTGAGGAATTGCATTCAAAGTACTTCCTGAACAAGCCTGCCATTTTTTTCTCCCAAAGGCTTTGCATTAAAGCCCACTCGTAGATCGTTATAAGTATTCGCACCCTCAACATGGCGTTGTTCGACTGGACGTCATGTTCTTGGGATTACCTGCATTGACAGCAAATATCAGCACAGTCCTTCAGTAACGGAAGCTCATGACAACAATGAACAGGCTGTTAGCGTGTTTCAGGGACACCGGAGACAATCCCGACAAAGAGCCGAAGATGAAGTCTGATGTTCTTACGCCGTCATTTTTCTTCATTTTTTTTTTCCAGCAATGAATACATGATATTTCAGAAGATCATCAAGCTAGAGTACGAATTTCCAGAGGGATTCCCCGAGAAAGCGAAAGACCTAGTATCAAGACTACTGGTGAGTAAGATGATGGCCGAGTAGGGTTAGGGAAAAATGGTAATTCATGCCCCCTTGTGAAGGATCTCTCTTTTTTCAGTAAAGTGAGCTTTGTCATGGAAATATTGTGTCGGAAAATTGGAAGGTTTTGTCCTTTTTTTTTCCCGTGTGCATAAATATGGACTGAAGTCTCAATTCAAACTGCCCAAATTCTTTGATTTTTAAAACTTCACTGAAATCCAAAAGTCAAAATTACGGCTTCAGTTTACAACCTCAGTCTATTGGTCACATAGCACCAGACCCTCCTGGTAAGGAAGAAACAAAAAAAATGAGGTCGGTTTACATGCAAGGTGCAATAAAGGCTGGTAACTTGAGGAAGACTGGCCAAGAACTAGACATTAGTTGATCATTATTAGTTTATTAAATAACCTTTCACTTACAATTTTAAATAATGCTCGAAAACAAAGAAAAGCAACATAGAGCCTGCGTGTGAGCAACTGTACTTCTGTGTTAACCATATGCTGCTGGGGAGCTTTGTACACAAAACCGGGGAGCCCGAAACCAGACAAAAGAGCTGGGCCTTGTAACAAAAGACTGTACTTGGAATAAAAGACCGAGCTGCTGGGAATGGCCAACATTTTTTCAGTTGTCAATACTGGAGGAAATCTGTCATTATTTTGAGAGATTATACCGCTGTGTGTGGCATTCAGCAGGAATGGATTACCACCGGGGACAAAAGCGCTCCAGCACTCCAGTGATGAGCGATACAGTACCGCTGCACGCTAATCTGGCCCCTATTGAAAAGCCGCCAGTGCAGTGTGCCAGTTTCGGGAACAAAAGAAAGTTACATAACACCGCACAAATCTGGGCTCTTTTTACAGGGACGCAAGCCTTGCTAAAATACTTGGGCGTCAGTAGATGTTGTCTGTCAGATTAGAGTAGCCACCAGATAGTCATTTGTGTGGATGTAAACATCCAGTAAATGAAGCTATGATTTTTTGAAGAATTTTGAAAATGGAAAATCTTGAAAATCACCCAGTTTTATGTCATGCAACTTAAAATTACACCCGGCAGCAAGTGGTTAAATGTAGACATGTAGCCATCACGAGGGACCTTGTCTTGGTCTGGTTTCAGGTGTTAGACCCCTTGAAGAGAATAGGGTGCGAAGACTGTGGAGGCTTCCCAGAGCTCAAGGACCACCCATTCTTTGAGGGCGTCAACTGGGACAACCTACCCAACGAGACTCCACCCACCCTCAAGCCGTGCATGGTGGTGGATGGCGAGGAGATTCATAGCGACCTCTATGTGAGTGAAAAATGGGGAACCAGACTCCTACGGCAGTCTTCCGCTGGCCGAATTTGGCAGGGTCCCCTGACTCCCCTTGTGGCATGACTTTGCTGGCCATTCTAATGGTCACTGCGTTGGAACTGTAGAGGGCGCTCTTTTTGCTTACTCGTTAGAGCTGCATTGGGGCACACAGATGCTTGCACAGGTTTCTCTAGCTCGTGCACCTGCAGACAAGTTACCGCCTGTGGGAAATTTTCAACAGATTGTGCACAAATTGGTACTGTATTCTCCCAAATGGGACTCATTGGATCCCAATAGAAATGCACTTCACCCGGGAATGGAACCGACTTGGCCTCAAGAAACAGCTATGTTAGAGCACCTTTACTTGGCTACTGCCTGTCAAGTCTATGAGAAAAGGCTGAATTGGCTAGCTAACAGTTTCCGTGGGCACTTTGTGGTTTTATTTCTGGCTGTAATTAAATAATTTGATTAAATTCAGAAAAAAAGAATACCTTATCCACTTGGAGCAGGAACAAAAGAGGGCGTGTTTTGAAATGAAAGTGACAGCCATTTGGTGTGCACTCACGGGATAGGCGTGCATGGTTTATGCGCATTTGAAGCAGCACACTGAATACACGCAATACGCTTAGTCTGGAATACGTGGTCTTCGCATGTACACCAAAGGGTTGTAAGAACCCAGTTTGAAAACTTAGTACCATCTGTTTTTCTTTCGCCAGTGAGGGCGCACTTCAGCTCAGATCAGATAGGTTATTGCTATATCGTTTGCAATAACTGTTGAACGGAACTGAAAATGTTGTGCGTGAGAAAGCAAGGCCTCCCCCCAAAAAAGAAACTTATCCCCCATATCTCGAACCAAATTACAGATTGACGAGTTTGACATGTCACCCCTGAGCGAGTTCCTGGGCCAGATCAAGACATACGAGAACAACCGGCAACAGACCAAAGATCGGTCGCAGCGCAAGCCCAAGTACGTTCTGCCCTACACGTCGGAGGAGCGAGCCGCCCTGCTAGAGAAACAGAGGCGAGAATGTAAGTGGCACCGATTTGTGGACGGCAACTTGATCCTGAAGATGGCTCCCATGGACAAGAGGAGGGTAAGTTTTTTGATGGGCGGAGTTTGAACGTTAACAGATTATTTAAAAAGACTTTGAAAGCCAAAACCAAGCCTTGATCTGAAGGGTTTTTTAACTGACCGGCTGGGCAAATTAACTTATTTTTCACCAGCCTACAGAAATTTTCACAATCTCACTAGATGTTGCTTTGCAAAACTTATTTTGACAGGCTTGTTTCAACTTTTATTATTTTCACCAAAAAAATGTATGTCAAATAAAAAAAAATTAAAAATTAAATTATTTTATTTTTCTACTGTGGCGTCTTGCTGTCAATTTCGAAAACAGTCTAAACGTGGAGGATTAAAATCTGTTGCAATTCATAATAAAGAACACGCACTGTGCAATCAAAATGCACATTGTGACCTAAGTTTTACTCAGACAGGTTGATGTTTCTTGACTAGCCCACCGAACAAATTACGGACTGCATTCTACTTGCCTGTAGAAGTTTTTTACTAGAATTTGAATGCTGATCGAGTGCTAAAGTTGAGGCCTGGCCAAAACACCAAACTGCAGCTTATTAACAACAAAAACCAGATTATTTTTAATAACTTGATAAAATCCTTGAAAGTTTCAAAAGGTGGGCACACTCTTTAGAGCTCCCAAATTGAGCCAAGTTTGCCAGCTTTACCCTCTTAGGTTTTTTTTTCAGGCATGTCCTATGGATTTTTGTTAAGTGCTTTGGTGACAAGCCATCAAAATTCCATTCCAGGAGTTTGTGTTAACAGTAGTGGGAATACTAAACCGCCCTGGACAAAGGAAAGTTCGTCCGCTAACACTTGACTTGTTACTTCTTGGTGTTAACGTGCCCAAGTCCTGTGATGACTTCTCAGCAAACGTTGTGTTTTTGTCTCCTTTTATTTCGGCAGGGTTTGTTTGCCAGGAGGAGGCAGTTCTTACTCACAGAAGGACCTCACCTGTACTACGTGGATCCTGAGAACATGGTCCTCAAGGGAGAAATTCCATGGTGGGTCAAAAATTCAAGATCTGGAGCCTCTGAAATTTGGGAATGCTCCGGTGGAAACTTGTTGCCGGACCTCTTGTCCAGAAAAAGGCTACACGAAGCAACGTAGCCAAACAATAAAATGATTCACATTGAAAAAACCTGGTATCATTGATGCACTCAAGTGCTAATGGTATAAAGTTAAGGTACTAAATCACATCAATAGCACTTGAGTCCTCTTTTACTGATTTAGACTCAGACCTCAGGTACTAAGCGAGTTTTGTCAAGCATGTGTGATCATTGACTTGGTGTATTCTGGAGATCAGAGTGCAGGTGCTACACTGTAGCTAATTTCCCAGCATTTGATGTAACGTTGTGCCGCGAATAAGCTGTAAACCAGGAATTTGAAGCGCTGCAATGTGCTCCCATTAAATAGAATTCACTCTGTTTTTCAGGTCTCCTCATCTCCGCGTGGAGGTCAAGAACTTCAAGACATACTTTGTGCACACGGTGAGTAGACAAACAAAAACAAAAAAGCACGTTTTATGAGGAAGCTGTTGGCCTCGCACCCAAACAGACATTTACATTTTAAATTCAAATGACATCTCTTACCACACTGTGGCCTTTTGAAACTCCAAGAGAGCTTGTCACATGTTGTTTGCCATTTTTGCCATCTTTTCACAAGCAAAAGTATTTATACCCCTAGCAACCACAGTATTCTATCCCTAGCAACCACAGTATTCTACCCCTAGCAACCACAGAACCAGATGCATAGCCACAATGGCATTGTGTACAAGTGCATACTTATATAGTGCACTGCACATTGCCTGCATTAAGAACTGTTAGCACTGCGGAGCTAGGTTCAATCATTCTTTGTGAAGAGTAAGTTTTGAAGAGCCTTGGTAAATGTTCGACAGATTTCTTCATATTCAATCAATTAGCACACCTGCTACTGTATTCAGATCAAATTAATCCGTTTATGGTAAAATCGAGCAGGCTCTGTAGAAGAGATGTTATAAAACAAATATTGACTGCTTTATCTCGTGGTGCAGTAAAACTAGCCTGCCTTGGTGATTTGTGGAGCATTCCGTTTTCCTGCAGCTAAACCTCAGGAAAAGTAGGATGTTTCATGGATCACATTTAGCTAGCTAGTTTTTCTATACCACTTGAAGCAGTTAATATTTTTATTCTACGACGTCTTCCATGTAACGACACAGGACATCCTTGTGTATTCAGACATCATCCAGCATGAAGTTTTTGAAAGACTGTCTAGAGCCGGCCAGTCGTGATATTTTTTTTCCCCCCGTTCTTTCATCCATACAGCCCAACCGGCTCTACTACCTAATCGACCCAGAGGGTCACGCGCTAGAGTGGTGCCGGGCCATCGAAGAGGTATATAGACACACCTACCAGACCAACGAGAAAAAGGACTAAGCGAGGCAGAGTCCGTGGCCAGCCTCCCAAGAAGAGAGACAAAGAAATATCGTCAGGCAGCCGTAACAATCTCTTGATAGTTTTTTGCTTTCATGTGTGTGCAGAGGACGCAAGAAGATTACCGCATGCCAGGGTTTGTGCTGGGGGTAGATTGAAGTTTCATGATTCTATTCATCCATTTTTTCTTGTAAAGAATTCACTGGCCCCTACATGTAACAGCGCAGCCGTTACTTGCAAGCAGTTAGAAAATGGTTAACGCTTAGCTAAACAATCAGTAGCATAGAATTTTGGTATTGAAAGATGCTAAGCAGAAAGTTGGAAATTATTTGTATGTAAGCCCCTTTAACTCTTTCATCATACATGTCCAAATGAATTAGTTCCATTGACAACATCACCGTGAGTGTTGGAATCCTTGCAACATCAACAGAACTGAGCCCAGCGATGGTTGGAAGAGATCAGGATTGGTGTGAAATTTTACCGCTGTCACCGAGAAAGAAGTTGATGAAAGCACTGTACCCTGTCCCCGTTTGTGAAGTGGACATTTCTGGTTGAACGGGGTGAAAAAAATGAACTGCAAAGAGTCCTATTGGCTTTGCAATGATGCCTCTGTTCACGGTGTCAATTTATCTCGCTGACAGTTTCCATAGACTGAGAAGTCACGAGTTCTGCATGCACGTATACATTACAGTCCTAGCTCTGGTTTAAACCCATAGATGCATGGTAATTGTCAATGTCTTCAAGATTCAAAATGAATGGACAGACTCCCAGCACAGACTCTTGGTATTGATGGTAGAAAAAGAAAAGTTGACCATGGAATTCTAATTGTAAATCCTAGATGTGATCCGGCCTGAAACCCCCAGAATTGAGTACCTTGATGTGCAGTGTATTAACCCTAACAGTCCCAAATGCTCCAATTTTAATACGAGTTTACATACACCCTAGGGGGTTAGGGTTAATGGAACCAGAACTGATGGATACCAAATGACTATGGGACCCTTTTCACAACAACGTTGCACAGCTAAGGTCTTTGGTGAATTCAGGCAGTTGCCAAATCCAGGTAGCTTGGGCAAAAAACCAACCGCAAGAGTTGCTGAATCATTTACAAATGACATCGATTGCCGTTGTGTAGGTTATCCAACAGGAGGTATTTCAAAGCACAGTACGCTGCACTGGTCAGTCTCTAGACATCCATTTTAGACACTGCATGTGAACAAACTGTCTTTGACCTTTGCTTACAGTCCATGTGAATATTCATAACAAACTGTCTTTGACCTTTGCTTACAGTCCATGTGAATATTCATAACAAACTGTCTTGGACCTTTGCTTACAGTCCATGTGAATATTCATAAGTAGTGCTCTGCCAAAAATCTAAAGTCGGTTAGATGTTCGGCCATGTATTTTACTTGTTAAAATTACGGGAATAATTCATAAGATAACTTGCCACGCCTAGATGCGGCACACCTTAAGATGCAGAACTCATCCTTGCTGAAACTCAAGTCAGATACCTGGGTTGAATCGCAGTTTTCTGTCCTGTCTTTGACTTTCTGGTCTTGCACCCTGTATCGCTTCACTGTGCTTGCCAATAACCACCATTGTGTTTCATATGCCCGATGCAGTCACTGGAAGTCGCGTTAGGTGTACATGTACGTATCTTCCATATTGCAGGATTCACAGGTATTTATCATTAACATAAATCTTGGCCTTGCATGTATCCCAATACCGTACATCTCAACGGAAACTAGCTCCCAAATCCTTTCAAAAACAGTAAGGCACGAAACATCTCAGACTCATGTCACGCTGTAATTTGTACATAATTTGTTTTTTAAGAGAATCGTCATAATTGTATGGTGTGTGTGTGTTGAAGAACGTAATAGAATATGCAACTTTGCAATCAAGGAGGTAACAATAGCTGAATAAAATGAACACCGGAAAAGAAATAACTGGAATAAGTAACTTAAGTAGAAGAAAAACAGAGACAAAAAAAAAGAAAGAAGAAAGCCATTATGCAAGTGTTTGCATGCTGCCACAGCTTGATAGAACTTTCTCTCATCAAACAGAATTGTTAGGAAATTGTTTAGATGAATCTCGGAGAGAAACCTGTATGTCCTTGTATAGTAATGCAAATCTAAAAAAAAAAAACTTCTTAATGATGTAAGTTCTGCTGGAATGAAACCATCAGCCTGTCTGACTTTCTTTTTCAGTTTGGAACTGAATTGCTATTTTTAATTTTTCCAGAATGGTAAGAAAGAAAAAGTCTGATGCCCTTGACTTATTTTTTAAAATCTCCTGACTGTGGTGTACACTGCACAACCAGACCAAGATGGCCACCACGCTGGCTTGGGTTCATGTATACTCCGGAAAATAGAACTCCAAGGGTACTGCCTACGGGAAATAAAGAGCAAAATGTCAGTCAGACAGATAGTATACTGCATCACTTGCTCATTTCAATATGGCCGAGATGTAAACGCTGACCAGTTGCAGGATGTGATCTGAGAGTAACTGCATATACAACACTTTTCCTGCCTCCAGAAGTGCCCGGAGTAGCATGCAAGAGTGGAGCCACTGTCTGGCAGAAACTCTTCATATCTCAAATATTTTATTCATTTCAAACAGTGGCCCACAGGCCAAATTCCTAGAGACGATTCCATGAAGATAGTAAATATCTTGAAGTGGAAGTATCGTGAATTTAAACAAAGTGAATGAGCTACAAGTGTAAGAGAGAGTGAGTAGTTTGTTGAGAGAACTGATCTCTTCCACTTTCTCATTGACGCCTCAATCTTCACTAGCAAGACTTGAGGAAAATCAAAGACAACCCCTTCACAGCACTTGATTTGAAATCATGAAGCATGTTTCTTCACCTGTCAGTTGTAGAACTGATGAAAGACAACCAAGACGACATACTTAGATACGCAGAAAAAGGAACTCACATATTTTTATTTATTATTGGCAGGATGAACCTGGGAGGCGGTCATTAAACTACATACTTGCTTCTCGAGGTTCATGGCATTGTGGGTAATAGAGGAACTATTTGTCCTGGATGAAGGACATTGTAGCTTGGAGCATACTGTTAATTAAAGAGGCATAAAAAAAGCTAAATCCAAGAGCATGAACTCTGTTGGAGGTAAACTAAGACATAAACTATATCCTATGTGTTGTAGATAAAAACCTGAATTGGAGAATTGTATTTGATGTTGATTGAAACTTGTAAGGGTGTTGTAACTTTAAATACATGTACTTGCATATATGCACTGGAGGATTTGTTCATCATGATTACAAGTATATTACTAGCATACGGATAGGCCAACACAAAATTTGTACCCAGAATTTCAACGAGGATGTGATAATGTATTGTAGCCATGACGTAGCATCGTTTAAAGTTTCATTAAGATCTGAATGTGCATCGACATTCTAAATAGCAGACCCTTCCTCACCTATTTTCAATCATTTCTGACTTGTACATAAATCCAGTGGCAGTACTTGTACCTGTGTATGGCGATTGGTGGCCAATATGTAATATTCATCTCCACTGACGGAATTCTCAACACCCTTTCCCAGAGGCAAAATGCCCAATTTTTAGCAGAGAAAGTTGCAGTAATTTTTTTTTTCTATTTCTTTCCTTTTTCAGTTTTGTAAATAAGGAATTACACGTGGACAGGTTGTTACGCACTTATGAGTCTCTTGTAAAAAGAATATATGAATTATTGTGTTCATGTGATTTATATGATTATATATAAATATATAAATATATAATTGTTATTGGAATGTGTGTAGGTATGTTATGGAGAATGGGGGAATCGAGGTATCACTTGTCTATGTATAGGGTAGGAGTCTTCCTATGTGGTAAAACTTGGTGAAATAGAACCAATAAAAATTTTTATAGTGGCCACAGTGTGGATCCAAAACAAAGTTGGCACAAGTTTGGCTATTTTGTTGTCCCATGGATGCTTTTTGTCATGTTGCCGGTTCAACTGTACACCTGTGAAAGGAATTGTATTTTATTTTGTTCCATTTTTTAGTTTTTTTTTTCTTGGAGAGGAGGGAGTTATATGAAAACTTTGGATACAGAAGTCCGACTCTTATTTTTCAAAACAATCAGAAACTTATTTGCATAATAAATATATTTTTCTGGATATTTCATCTATTCTTTTTAGAAAAATTTTAAAGAATTTCTGACGGGTCTTTTGGAAGTTTCAGACTGCTCAACATGGTGAAATAGAGTCAGAATTTGTGCACAAAATAAATGTCTCTGTCTTTCAGTTAACTTGATCCCGAGGTGAAAAATAGATCAGTTGTATCGCAAATGTTTCCTTGGAAAGAAAGAGTTCTGATCATAACATAACATCTAATTCAGTCTGAAACCTCACATCAGACTCTTAAAACTAGAATTTAAACCCCGCACTTGAGGGTTTCGTGCATCACTAGTAAGTACTCGTGGTGTGATGCCACTTACAATATTAACTGAAAGAGCGTTTGTATCTGGTAAAATTGTCATAAACAAGAGGGCGCTATTTATATTTTATTTAAGCAGGTTGTAGTAAGTAGAGGGCGCTATTCGTCTTACTGATGACGATGCTGTTTCTTTGATCAATAGAGGGCGCTGTTTCTTTGATCAATAGAGGGCGCTGTTTATTTTGTCAATAGAGGGCGCTATTTCTTTGATCAATAGAGGGCGCTGTTCGAAATATCAACAGAGGGCGCTATTCCTTGTTATGGCGCCTAATTGGAAAAGGCTCTGCTGAACTTGGGAAAAGATACAGATCTGATTTTAGCAAGAAACGAATGAATAACCATGGCATGGCTCCACAAATGTACTCTGTTCAGTCCATATTTAGGGCCCTTCTACTACGTTAATGTGTATGTCTTTTATCGGCCGAAAATTGTGAAAATTTCACGATAAAGTTAGGCCTAATCCCCAGTCAGCTTGTCTACGTGGCCGGGGCGACTGTCATGTAAGTAGGGACCTATACTGCTAACTACTACTAACCGTCCTACATCATGTACACATAGCTACATTGCCCCTTGAACTCATGGGACTCGTCGTCCACCCCTGCTGGGATGACAAACCCAAGAGTTCTCGGAGCATAGCTATGTTTGACATGTCTGAACTGGGAAAGAGTTCCACCGCAAGGCTTATTGCCAGTAGTACCACATGAGTGATTTTGCACAATGTTAGAAAGGCATTACGGGAGGGAAAAAGGAGCAAACATTGCCCCCTTTCCATTCCCACAATGCCTTACCATTGTGCCAAATCACCAATGCGGTATCAGCAGTACCAGGCTTGTGTTTGGACGTCTGGTCTGCTATAATCTTCCCTAGCCCTTACAGGTATTTAGTAGTCATCATAAAGTGATAACATGTCCTTAAAAGTCGAAATTTGTGGCGAAAATATCGACACAATAGCCTACGTAGAATTTCAGACCAGTCACTCAGGGTTTGTGCATAGGGCATCCAGGGTGTCATTAAATGACGTCCAGCTGGTCAGTTAATTTTTGAAGTGGACTGAAATAGTTAGAGTTATTTGGACGAGTGAGAGACTTTTATATGTTAGTTCCTATTATGCACACTATCGTGTCCTAGATCCACTATCTGGCGGTCAAAATAAAACTGCAGACATTTTGAAAATACAAAAAATATATTTGTATTCCCACCACGACCTTGCAACGAAAATTGAATGATGAACAAGATAAACAAGACTTGGTCACAGAAATCCCACTTCTGGTTCACTTTAATGGATAGAGAGTCAAGCTTCCATTACTGCACATGGAGTGTGATGCTGTTGGGCAGACTGCACTGTTCTGGAATTTGGATTTTCCTGGCAAAATCCCACCGATATAGAGCTTCAGATTCAATGCTGCAGACTTTAGAAAAACAACTTCAACTCCATTTCTTTGTTTTCTTGTTTGACAGCCATTCACATTTGAGAAGACTTCTCAAGGGCCCAATTATCATGCCATGCTGCCAACTAGTCGTCCATAAGACTGCACATGGCAAGCCTTTCTGTCTACCAACCAGCCAGTAATCTTGAACCAAGACATGCTAGAAAAACCAGCAAATAGCCAGTCATCGGCAGGCTTTAAAGGGTGCACTAACCGTGCACTGGACTAGCACAGGTTGGTTCCATACCATAACTTGAAGGCAAAGGATGGTAAAACAGCAAAGTTCCATTTGAAGTTATTGCGCATCGATTACACATTTTTAAGTTTGCAGTGTAAAGATCACAGGAGTTGCTAAAACCCCAACACGCTGTGGGTTAAGATGAGTCTCTACCTATTTGCTGCAGACTGTTTGGGGTAACATTGTTGAAAAATTTGGCTCAAAATCATATCCAATTGTTAACATAGAAAAATGCCCATTGGTTGTTTTCAAATTACTGCTGATTGGTTTGTTAGACAGGTTGACCTTTGACCCCCTGAAGCGGGGCCTACAATTCCAACCTTCCAAGATGCACCTCCTTACAGAAGTTTGGAAGTTGCTTTAGCGACTTTGTACATTGCAAATCGTGGGAATATTACCCAGTCAAAACACGTCAGCTCATATCATTTTGTCATGTCCGTTATGGAACTTTTTACACAGAATTTCACACAAGAACTTGGCTGCCCAAAAATTAGTGGGAAAATTGCTCTTTTGCCTGGTGTAGGCCAACTCGCACAATCCTTTAATCTCAGTTCATATATTGTAGTCTGATCTGCAATGTTTTGTATTGGAATGGAATGCCAGGACCGGACTGCATGACTAGGGGCAATCAAGACGTTGAGTCTATCTAATGGTAAACTGCTTCAATTTGAGATTGAGCTTGTACACGATGTTTTCAACAAATGTATCTCAACCAGAAAAGATGGTTAAATCGAGGGAATACGCTTTGTTGCAGAGAAGATGTTCAAGAAAGAAATCCACATATTGCAGCGTGCCACACGAAGTTTCACTTTTTCAAACATGCTGAGGTGCCAGTAAAAAAGGAGTGGAATTTTCTCTCTGCACGTTGAATTTCTGTGCTGTCCTCTTTCACGGCAAAGGCAACACTAAAAGTACCTTCTCAACGTTTACATGCTAACGAGGTTCTGCGTGGCAGTCATTATTCTGGTAAGAACTCTTGTTCCGCAGCGTTAAAATTCGTCTCCCTCTTCTGTTTAGCAGGTCTCCATTTGACAGACAGTGACGTTCACCATTGCCATGGGAACAGCTCTCTTTCCAGAAATCTGTGGAAGTTCTCAGTCTTCCTCAAATTGTAAAATTAAAGAGTTGTTCATTTTCAATCG